CATGAAAATTCCTTCCTTGCAATTCTGAAATTAAATATGTCCTTTGCAAAATAATAAACTCTTTGTGTCTTCAAGATGACTCTATGCATTAATACAGTTTAAATTTTTCACCTTGTGTTAATATTATTGTATAAAAGACAATTTCCATTATGCTAGATTTGGTTACTATTGGAATACAAAAAATTACTCATTTAGTATATGTTATTTACCATATTTCTTTGTATTTTAATGCAATTATAAATTTATTTTTATGTAAAAACATGCAATTTGATAATATTTCCTTTTCTGTTTTATTTTATTTTTTTATTTGCACTTTTAATAACAATGGATATAATAAGCAAGTTCCTGTCTACTCTCTGATTTTGATTACTCCTTATTAATCATGATACTCCTTAGTAACCATGATGCAGGATATTATTTAGTTTGAGTGGATCATTTTAAAGAGCTAAATGAATTATTGTTTTATCAAGGAATACAAGAGTCTTCACAGGGGCTGGGTCTAATTCCATGCCATGTAAGTTCTTCATGTGAGATAGTTTTAAAATATAGAGGGAGAGATGTTATTTGAGAACATACAGAAGAAAGACATTTCAAAGAATGGATTTGGAAACATTCTAAGATTCAACATCTGTATAAAAATAGAAAGCTACCAGAATATACTGAGCAAAACAGGAAAAACCTAACAACAGCTCTTGGAATTATGAAAAGAAACAAAAAAAGAGAGCTAACTCTCTGTGACTTTTGAGTTACAGTGCAAGATAATTCAGGATAGGAACCAGTTTGGTCACTTAAGAGACTGCTAATTAGTGGTGTGTCAAGAGAATTGCAGCAGGTCAAGATGAGAATGGAAATACAAGCACAACAATCTCTTTTGAGTTTCTTGTTTTGCCTTTACTGCTGAGCTGCTCATTTCAGCCTAAGATGCTTTCTGTCTCTCACTTATCTATGTTTTCTTATAGATCCTACATATTCCTCCCAACCACAATCACCAGGCTTACATTCTCCCATTAGGAAGGTATTTGTTCATCTTTCTTCTGACTTTGATATTCAATCCTTCCCACAGTTTACTTAGTTACAGAGAAAAGCATGTTGCCGTTTTTTTCAAAAACCATGATTTTTTGTTTGTTATAAGTTAAATATTTTATTTATTTATTTATATCCCAATTTCTACCATCTCCCAGTCCCCCCTTCACAGAGTCCCTCACCATACTTCTTCCCTTCTCCTCTGAGAGGGTTTCCTCCCTTCCAAGGTATCTCCCAGCCTTGGCTCATCAAGTCTAGGAGGGCTAGGAGCATCCTCCCCACTTAGGCCAAACATTGCAGTCATTTTGGGAAACAGGTTCCACAGAAAGGCAATAGTTTTAGGGACAGCCCCCACTTCAGTTTCTGGGGTACCCACATAAGACCATATTTTGTTTTATTTTATTTTATTTTGTTTTTTAAAGCAGTGCATTTGCTTATGGGAGTGTATGTGAGGATTTATGTAGACAGGGTTAGCAATGGGTGCAAACAAATATGCAAGGGCTGATTCTTGATAAGCATAGAACAAAGCTTATGACAAATAGCTTGTCATATCTAAAATGGTCAGAAATTTTCATAACAATGTGAATCTTTACGTTTTCTTTATTAATGAATGTTTTAAGGTTTTTTGAAATAGTTTTATATATGACTGGACTTAAAGAGAAAGAAAGCCCTAGAAAAATTAAACTTTCCCTCTATTTAATAAAGCAACTAATGAAAACATTTGGCTTTCAATATACAAATATTAATCAAGTTAGTTTAATACTAATGGTCTAGAGTCAGAAAAGATGATCCAAAATATTTAATATTTGGTAATGTGCTCCTTCTCCAACTACCTTATTTGTAGCCAATATTTAGTGAAATGAGTCAACCTCTTTAGAGAAACAGAAAATGTAGACTTGGCTCTTTTTTGACAAAATATTCCTATATTCAATCAGGAACCTTATGCAAGACAGATCTCAATAAATATCTGGCAATTTATTAGACCATATTAAACTTCTACTTTATCTTGTGGAGCTAGAAACTCCATCCACAGCCTAAATCAGTATCTTTGTTATTTACTTCTTATGGAAAAAAATGTGGTCTAAGACAAACATATGTGCATCTTTGAAAGAAAATGTTTTATATTTTGATGTCTTTATATGTTTTATATTTTGATGATATAGGAGACACAAAAAATCCAAGATAAGATTTAATTTAAATGATATATATCTTAAATTTTTTAAATGAGTAGCTATACATAGAACTATGAAGTGTGCATTTTTTCAATGCCTGAATTAGACTATTTCTGAGTTTTATATGTTAGATGTGAAATGCATAAAGTCTATTTTTATCTGAACTCTTAAATACCTTCCTTCTTGTGTTATTAGTCTTTACTAATGTTTAATATGCCTTAAAACACTGAATAGGTGGCATTACTGTCTTTTAAAGAAAGTCTTACTAGACTGGATTTTGTAAATGTTGTTTCTCTATGCTATTTACATTAAGAGTAGGTAGTTCTATTAGTGTAGAATACACTCTAGATAAGTTTTAGTAAGATAATACTGATTTTATTGACTGAATTAATTTCTTATCTCATAGGTATTTAGATTTCTTTCTTAATTGTCTTATAAAATACTTGTTTTCTTTCATTGAGCATTGATTTTATTGTTTAAATTGACACTATGTCACAAATAGCATGTATTAGAACTAGACATGTTATTATTCTCATTTGTTCTTATTTATGATCATTTTAATTTTTCAAAAAATCACATTCATATCTTCAAAACTTTAGAAAAATCTGTAAAATAATATTTTTAAATGAAAGAAATAGATTAAATCCAACTTCTTTTTCAATTAGGACAATAAATCTACATATGTGTTTTTTCTACTTCAGTAGCCAAGTCCTTTATTAACTGCTAGCACAATAGAAAGTCTCAATGGTATTTTGCAGTGTTTTCACTCTTTTGATAATATTTAGGTACTGATTATCTAGTACAGAATTGTACTTAATACTTTAGTAGTGATAAGATAATAGATGAAAGTCAAGGAGCAATTTTGCCATGTAACCAAGCATGAGAGAAAAGATGGTGTCACAGAGAGCTCAGATCTCCACTGCCTTCTAACCACTGGTGGGATTCTGTAGAGGAGATTGTACAAGATTAGGACGAAATAAGGTGCATGAGAGATGTCTATGTCTTCAGTGAATAGCCACCATTGACTATGTGCTTCATTAATGGTCTATGTCTTCAGTGAATAGCCACCATTGACTATGTGCTTCATTAATGGTCTATGTCTTCAGTGAATAGCCACCAATTGACTATGTGCTTCATTAATGGTCTATGTCTTCAGTGAATAGCCACCATTGACTATGTGCTTCATTAATGGGAGAAAATATATTTTATAAAGGGTTCATGGTCATAATTCACTTTGATCATCAGCCTCTGCAACAGCCTGGATGACAGGAACATCCAGGACACAGGTTGCTGGTGTTGTATGCTAGGCTAAACTCTGTTTCATCTTGGATCCTGCACTTTTGCTTAAGAATCAGAACTTTAGCAAGAGGCTTTCCTGTGTCTCCATTCTGGCCACCAATGGCCAAGAAGGACTGTCATCCAGGAAGAGATCCTTCTCTATTGTTGAAGTTACAGCTACACTCAAGTAGAAAAAAAGAGTCGTTCAAGAAGACGAGAGAGAGAGGGGGAGAGAGAGAGAGAGAGAGAGAGAGAGAGAGAGAGAGAGAGAGAGAGACTCATTGTTCACACATTGTTCACAGTATTCTAAGGCGACACTGACCCCACACTCTTGCCAGAGAGACTGAATCACTGCAAATTAGATCATCTGTAATATCATCTCTGAGACTGTATGATTCTAAATACTAATGTTTTCCTCCATCGCTGCCAATGCTGAATTTCTTTAACAAGATACAAGTACAGCAACAACATTGCTGGGCCAGCCCTGAAGCATTGCAGGATCATATCAGTGGGTGTGTAATTATGATAACAGGGCTAATGACTAGGACTAACATCTGTCTTGAAGTACTGTCACTAGAATTTCTGGCAAACGAGTCTGATTTCTCAGACAAAAGAAAGTTTCTTCCTGTGTAGTTTCATGATGCCATATTAATATACAATATGACTTAATAGGTGAACAAACTTTAAGGTCAGTGAGAATGTGAGAATGAATATGAATTTTGATTCTAATATTAACTAGCTGGTTCACATGAACAACTACTTAGCCTCAATGATATCTCAATTTCTTGTCTTATCAAATTGGCATAATGTGGTAGTCAATGTGTAGTATTGTAAAAACAAAATGAAACAAAGCAAGGAATCAGTGATCAGCATGTAGGGACAGCTGAAGAAATAATGAGGGCAATTTGCATCTCACTAGCTGAGGGGTTTCCCTAAGCATGAATCAAACTCATTCTGCAATATGTTTGTAGTTTGAGATTTGGGGCTAAATATTTGAAGGTCATGGCTTTTTATGTTTGTTCCATATTAAAATGAATTTTATGAACTAGGAAATCAGCCACAAATAATCACTCAATTATCAAACAGAAATATACATATGATTGCTTTCTTCTTGTATGTGTTACTTTGTTGCCAATTAAAAGAAGTTTTAAATAGCCAAAGTATTTTAAATTAAATAAAAATATAGACTGATTATATATGAATATTTTATGTATATTATATATAATACTTTGATGCAATTATTTTTAATGGCATACTTGAACTAGGTATTAAACAGTTTCATCATGGAATTATCCCTCAGGGTTGATTATAAAGTGACATAGCAAATGTGGCCAACTTCTGAGCCAGCCACTCTCTTTTCCACTCTGGTTTCTTGGCATTTGCATTTGAATTTCAGTGTGTTGTAGGGAAGGTTGAGAAAGTATTTGCTGGACACGTTGGGATATTTGGGTTTTGAATGTGCTTGTTTCACTGAAGGCCCTGCTCAGGCTGACTGTCCTCTCCCTGCTCTCTCTGGTTACCTTGTAGGCAGATGCGAATGTGGCAGATGCACTTGTTACCCTCCCGGGGACAGCAGAGTATATGGCAAGACCTGTGAGTGTGATGACCGGCGCTGTGAAGACCTGGACGGTGTGGTCTGCGGAGGTAGTAACTGTTCTCTCAGCTTTACTTCATCTGTCTTTCTTCATTGTTTAAACCATTTAAACAATTTAAAGTTGCTGTTTAAATAAAAGTAGTTAAGAAATACATCATTACATCTAAAAGCAATATAGCTTTATTACCACATTTATAAGCAAGAACACTTGACTTGAAGATATGTGAAAAGACTATCTAAGCAAAATCAATTTCTAAGTTCTATGCTAGTTGGTAGCAAGTGAAAGACTTCTATGCAAGCCAACATCTGCTCATGATTTCTATTATTTCACTCAGAAGCACTCAGAGAGAAATGAAATCTCTCCTAGAAACTTGGGACAAGAACTACAAGATTAAAGTCCAAGTTCAACTACAGAATCACAAGAGATACAAACTCAACTCTTGCCTTGCTCTTGGATCCCAAAAGTTCCCTGAAAATCAATTAGCCAGATAAAGAAAAAGGCAGAGCAAGGGTAGATGGAAAAGTAAAATGAGAAGATGAAAGTCCAGGAGATGAAATGCTGAGATGAGCACCATCCAGGAGAGGGAATATGGATCTGAATTATTCTAGTTCTGCCAGTCTTGAAATGCTTTGTATTATCAAGCATGATGTTGCTGGCATCTTTTGACCATCATGTGGCAACTCTCTTCTCACTCTATCATCACTATATATGTGTCTATCTTTATAGGTTCACATCTACCTTCCTGTATATCTAGATCACCTCTGCTTTCTATAACCTACTCTGAGACACTTACAATTTTACCAAATTTATATTTTTTGAACCACAGGGATAAGTCCTTTGAAGTAATCATTGTATCTGATGCTTATTTTTGGTGCTTTAATCATGGAGGTTATTCTAAAATAGAATTTCTACTTTCTTCATTTTCAGGGTAAGAAATGGAGGGAGGTTGGTCTAGTTAGCACCCAGTAACTCACAAATGGCAGACTAGGACTTGAGCCCCTATGTTTAGATCACAGATATTTCCTTATGCTGTGAAGCTCCTCAGAGGGACATCAAATTATTTCCCTGTTGCAATGTTGCTTTTAGATTAGCTCTTCTTTTCACTAACTTTAGTTGCTAGTTGCTAGAATTATCTAAAAGATTATTGTCATTTTGTTACCATTTAATATATATACACATATGGTGTACCTAGTATATAGAAAGTTCCATATCGACCTTACTATTCTTATTACCATAATCTTATTGCTCAGTTAGGGACACTGCCTGCAGACTGGGATCTTCTCACAATGATTTGGACATGTTTGTTGTCCTTTCTTCTTTGACATTCAATGTTTACCTAACATGAGCTTCCTTGCCCAGCATAATTTGATGACTTATTTGAAGTGTTTGATTTGGTAGAAACCTATTAAATTTCTATGTACATTAGATTGTGCTTTTTTCCTCCATAAACATTTTTTTTCAAAAACAAAAATAGAATTTTTAACCTGTCACACAAGAGCAAATACTAATTGAGTGAGATAACTCATGGAAGGGTTTTGTTTGAAAAATTCTCAGAATTGCATGTGAACACCCTTTGATACTGTCCATCTACACAAAGTTTACTCTGTCTCCAAGATAACAGACTTCCATGATCCAAATAAGTAAAATGCCCATGTACAAATCAGAGCAGCAATCCTTCCAGGAGCAACCAGAAATGGAATTATCCAAGAGCTTAGAACAGGTTCTGAGAAATATATTGGGTTGTTGTTTGTTGAAAAAGGTAATGAGAACTGGGAGTTGTATTAGGGAAGAAAAGGCATTTGATAAAAGCTGTTTGATTAGAATTACATATACATTCAACTAGAACTTCATTCTAGCACAAGAGATGAAGTTCTAAAATCATGTAAAATAAAATTCTCATGTATCCATCAATTGTTCACTAATGCCTACTTCTAGCATTCATTGTCTTGCTATATCAGCAGGACTCAAAGCTCCCACCGCTGAAAAAACCTTCAGGCAGTAAAACTCAACAAAAGCAATAAGGATGAAAGAATGTCTGTGGGTATCTGTTACAGCTAACACAGAACACTTCAAAAGAACACAGCTCTTACGTGAGGTGGTTCCTGTTCCTTCTTGAAGGACTGCAGATAACCTTCGAGCATATTCACATTCTTTGAATGTTCTCTAGTTAGTCATTCCTTGTACAGTATATAACAATAGGATAGACAATAGCTATACATATGCTGATCTGCCAAATCCTGCTCCAACTGTGGTTCACTCTAGGAAACCTTTATACACAATTTCTTACTGGGTTCCTCACTCAGAGTGTGTAGTGCCAAGTGTGGTAGTTTGAATGAAGATCGCCCCCAGAGACTCATAAATTTGCATGTTTAGTTGGAAAGGTTCCCTGTTTGGAAAAAAATAGGAGGTGTAGTCTGGTTGGAGTAGGCTTTAGGAGTGGACTTTGAGGCTAGGTCCACAATCACTCATTTTGCCTGCACTCTGTGGATCAGGATATAAGTTCCCTGTCCCATGTTTGCCTGCCTGCTTGCCACCATGCTTCATGCCATGATGAAAATAGACTAACTCTCTGAACCTATAAGCAAGAGTCCAAGTAAATGCTTTCTTTTGTAAGAATTTCCTTGGTCATGTTTCTTCAGAACTGTAAAACAATAGCATAAGACTTGAAAAAATTTAGTCCTTGATTGTGTTTTTCATGCAGTTTCAAATTTGGCTAGGACTTTGTTGGTGCCTAAATATACCAGGAGGCTCTTCCTGCCAGTGATAGAGAAACAATAAGCAGACAGCAAGATCATATTTAATCATTATCATCAGATTTAATTCTCAGTCTGTTTTTCTAGAACTAGGGAAAAACATCTACTACCTACTTTGATATTTATTAAAGGCATTTTATTGATTAATTGATCTTTGAGCACTGGTTGGGTTTGTACATAAAATAAGTCTTAAACTTTCCTCCTGAAAAATATTATTTTAGCTGGGTCTACAAATCTGAACCATGGTGTTTTCTACCATTGCACATGCATGCTCCTATCACTCTATACAGTGAGATTGGGACTGTAAATAAACTTAGAAATAAGTGAGTCGCAAAAAAAAATGAGGATTAGTGCAAATTATCTATAGTTCATTTTAAATGCCACTAGAAAGGTGAACAATGCTTCCTACCTTAGCTTTGCACTGACATTCACATAGTGCTTTCATTAAAGAGGTGAATAAAAATAATGTGGTTTTAAATCCTGTATTTTCTGATTATGCTTTATGGAAGAGATTACATGGATTTTGCCTGTTTTAATATCATAGTTTTCCATTTCTTGGTGGGTCTTAAAACACAGAGGACCCTCCATTGTAGAAGACATTCGAACCTGAACTAGTTGTGGTAATAAAGTACATAGTACAGCAAGTACTCTGTAAGGAAGTCAAAAGTTCTCATGACTTTCATAACTCACAAAAAACTTTTGTGGAGTACCTAAAATCCCTGTTTGAGAAATCATAGAGTGAGATTTAAGCTGTTGCAGAAGTTCTTATGAGATAGAAATATCACTATCTGTACTGTAGAGCTCACCTCTGTGTGTCTGGCTTATGACCTGAAGAGAAGACAGTCATATGTGTATATGAACTTCTCTGTGAAGCCCCATGTCCGATGATGGTAAGATGTTGGTTTCTTCCCCATGTCCTTGAAAGGAGATGGGTCTGGAATAACAGTGTGAACATTTAATTGAACTGGAGAATAAGCTCTAACTTCAAAAAAATAAGCACCAGTTATAAAAATTCCTGATATAATGAATGATATTAGTGATAGCTAGAGTCAACTCTGATGACTCCTAGTTTTTTTTTCAGTGCTAGATGGATGGAGGAATTTATACTTTACATTTACCAGGTATCTCCTTATTAAAAAAAAGGGGGAGGGGGTTTTTTCATAGAGGGCAACTGAGATGGACAAGCTGGGATATATCATGATTCTACCTAGCATTCTGCTCTTTATCTTCTCACATTCTTAGTAACCTCACCAAGTCTGCTTCCAGATGACTACCTCCAGGGAACTGTTGTACATTCCCTCTGTGTTTCCAAGGGGTACATGACTCAGTAAAGTGCTGTGCATGTGAATATAATCAAACTCTCTTCTCTTCTCTTCCCCCTCATCATCTTCTACACTTCAAGTTATTTTCAAATTTAGCATAAAGAGCATCCTTCAAATAAAATAGAAGTTAAGGGAGTTTCAGAATTTGTGAGCATAGAATTATGGAGTATATAATTCTTCAAGTTGGAGTAGACTTGGATTGGTTTTACAACAGCTTTGGGTGTATGGTGTTTAATGTGAAAGTATTTAGGTCTGAGAAGGGTAAACAAAATCATAGTGAATAAAAGTATGTGTTATGTTGAGGAAAGATATTTTATTTTCTTGTGTCTTCTAAAAATACTGACTATGACTATGTGAGTATGACTGAGTGTATGTATGTGTTCCCAGTACATGCAGGTAACCTCAGCTACCAGAAGAAAGCATCAGATTCCTTGGGACCAGAGTTGTAGGTAGTTATGAGGGCTTGACTTGGGTGCTGTGAACCATAACTAGGTCCTCCACAAGAGCAATGAGTGCTCTTAACTGCTGAGCTATCCTGATAGCCACATTTTCTTATATCTTTAAGTAATTCTTAGTTGATCTTATACATTGTTTGTCATAGATATTGCTTTTTGTAGAGGAAACAAGTATTTTTCCCTTTTAATTCATTTTTTAATTAGCATGCAAATCAACAAATATCTTACAGCACCTTTATATACACGTAGGAATTTTTTTTTGAGCTCCTTCTTTCTGCTCCATTCTTTCACCAGTATTTCTACTTCCACATTTCCTACTCAGTCTGTGTTATTTTATTCTTCCCAGTCCATTCCCTAATTTTTTCCCATCTATTTGACCCATTTTTAGTTATTTCTGAGATTATTCCCATATTCACTTTCACAAAAACACAGTTATGCAAAAGTTAGAAGCTAACAGCATAAAGGAGAAAAAACATAGTATGTATATTTCTGAATCTCTGTTAACTCATGAATATAATA